GAGGAAATTAGGTGTATGTTATAATGAGGTAAGTGTGTGTGGCTTTAGGGGCCCTTTAAAAAAAATCATTTGAAATTTGGACAAAAGGGTCAAGGAAGGGCGGGCGTAGTGGGGGAACGTTAATATCAAGTTCCTGTGTCATGGATGTATGGTGTTTATGTTTTTGTGTTGTTTGTTTGTGATATGATCCAGATTTCAATTTGTGCATTCCCTAGGGTTGATGGTGGCACTCCTGACAAACAAATGTTCCCAAACTGAGCTAGCATGGAACCCCACCATAGCGCCGCATTAGGCTTGAATGTAACAAGGAAACGATTGGAATTATATTTACTTAGGCGATTAATCATGCTTGCAAGATGTGAGAAAAAAATGGTGTGATATGCAAATTAATACGGCGTTTACATTAGAACTTTTTACCGGGTTAACCGACTTTATGAGGATTTATTTGGCATATATGTAAAGGAATTGACAATTTGAACCCACTAGGTTAACCAAATCCGGTACAATGTAAACGTACTTTAAGACTATGTACAGGCAGTAACTGTTTTAATCTTTTTATTTTAGGCATCTGATTCAGGTTTGTGTTGTCTGTTTGTTTTCATCAAGACATGCAATTTTTGATTTTGATATATTTATATCGAAGTGTTTACTATTTTTAGTTCCCTTTCTAATCGTTTACCACTGCAGCAGAAGAGAGCTAAGCTAAGGCATTTCAACTTCTTACGGGAACAAAGTACTCAGTAGAGATTTTCATGTTACATATGTTTAATGGACAATTTTTCGAAAAAGCTGAATATTATAATGTTTTTAGCATTTTACATTCATTTGACACGACAGCAGCTATTCGCACCAGCTCCATAAACAGCCATCGCCTGGTAGGCATCCAAATTTTCCGGGATAATAGTGACAATATTCCTCTAAATTCATGTAATTGCATGCATTTTTTGGACACATATACCGGGAGCAGTAAGCGGAGCAGTTTTCTGGTTGATTGAGCGGACAACCAGAACAGTCCGCTGGATCATTATTTGCAACTGAAAGTAAACAATTGACTTGGTGCATTGAGTTTGGTTCCGAAATTAAAACTCACGATCAATACCTTGTTGCGATAATGTTGTCGGCGGCGGCATAATTAAAGTTGAGTGTTTGTATTTAATTTCCGGAGGCCTCAAATATACAGTGGGAGCACTACACACTCTGGCATCACATAAATGTTGATTACGATTAAAACAAATCCACTTCTTGCCATAAAGCTTGCAAATACGCGGTGTTCTCACATTACAACAACCTACAGATTTCGATGATTGATCGTCAGCCTCCTTTTCACGACTATTTACAAGTAAATTTGTGGGCTTGGTGTCATCATTGAGAACCAGTGGCTTTATTAGTTTTTCAGATTCCTTCAGTACTGCACTTATTTCGTTGGTATTAGGCAAGCTATAGTCCCCGGAGTTTTTGGAACTAATGCTTATATCCTGGGCAGGGAGACTTGTTCCAATACTTTTGCTGTTGTCCCTATCGACATACGACGTTCCGTTCAAAATCTGTTTATACTGACTATTAACTTCAAGATACACGGGGGTCCTTAGCACCTCATTAGTCACAACATTTTCTATTTCCAGAATTGTGGTTATATTTTCTGGTTCTTGACACCTCTTACCCCGCCATACTGTCCCGGGGGGACAAATGGCTTGCAGACAGATGCCCTTGTACAATTCGCCGTTTGGACAAATAATTTTGTGGCACTTATTATCTAGCAAGACCGAACCTTCTGGACAGTATATGCGGTCTGCTTCTATTGGAGCACACGAGCACATGTCGTCGATCTGTGTTGCAGCATATCCGTGCGGACACTCGATATTACAAACCGGCTGGTATTGAAAACGGGACAAAAAATTATGAAGGTACAGTATTGATTTATTTAAGTAATTTTGATCCTGGCACATACTGAAATTGAATTTTCGGCACACACACCAATGGCAAGAGCCAACACCGCTGAAATCGCATTTATTTTATGGAGCGCTAACATTCTAGTCCGTGATGTTACAATTCAGAATTCTGACTAATATGTGTCTGTCAATGGGAATCATAAACATACTCTCTCAATTGATAAGCCTCGAATCTTGCATAGGTCTAAGAAACACAAAAAGATCCAAGGTCATGTTCATATGTGATAATAATTTCTAAATATACAATTTATAAAATATACAGTGGTGGCCATATCATATGCAGGTCAAATTTACTACGTGGATCGACGTTCTCCCTTGGCCCAACCAATTCACAATTTGTTGGAGATCATTAACTCAAGAATCAGCCGGTGAATAGCCTGTGCAGCAATATAGCTTGAAACAATTAAAAATTGAATATTATCTATGCCTAAGGTATGTGCGAGTGTCCTCCAGAATAAAGGATACGCAACTGAATATTGATTTTAACAATTTTTTCTGTACATTAAAATATTTTTTGAATTTTAAAAATGTTGTTTTTAATTCTCAATTCTATATGTTTTATTTTTCAATAAAAGATATATAATTAAATAATAAGAAAAATGAAAACAGATTGTATAGCATTGCTTTCATAAAAATCATTTAAAAAATGTACTAAGGGGGTGATTAAATTTTGGCCGATACTGTATGTTCCAAAAGAGCGAATAACATTCTAAATTTCGACTAAGATGAGCCTGAGCGTCAAATCCTGTATAAGTCACATAAACACGAAAAGGTGCGAGGTCAGGTTCATATGTGATAATTTCTAAATACATTGTTTATACACACTCACTGAAAGGTCGAATAAAAGTAACATTTAATTTGAACATTTTTCAAGTCTTTGATCAGTCTCATCAGTTTGCGCCACCAACCCACACTTCGTAAAATATATGAACAATATTTTCGGAATGAATGCCATTTTGCCGAGAATATTCGTTTTCTCCTTGCTAGTTAGCTGCCTGATACTTCAATTGGTGGTAAGTGAAGGATGCGCAACAATGCCCCGGAATGTCGATTCTATTTAATGGGGCGTGTTTTGATATTACTAGAGGAAATTGTCGCGAGGGTAAGTGGAGGGAATTGATTGATTATGAAATTTACACAAACTAATTGTAAACAATTGAAACCTCTCCAATACGATGTGATTTCCAGCGACATGCAATTAATTGGTCCAGACCAAATCATTTTCAGTTTTAATCTTTCTTTGCATTTCAAGGTTATTATTTGATTGGAGAACAATGTTGCCTAGAAAGTTGCGTACGTGAATGTAGCGGTGTAAATTGCCTAAATTGTTGTGAACCTAAGGGACAGGTCTTTCCCAATTCGAATCAAAACAATGCTCCGTGTTGCACAAATAATTGCCAGATTCCTTCATCTGCATGTTGTCAGAATTCTTGCACAAATAATTGCCAGATTCCTTCATCTGCATGTTGTCAGAATTCTTGCCAGAACCAGGTTCCATGTCAAACAAGTAACTGTTGCGGTAATTCCTGCCCAACAACTTGCAATCCATGCGCAACTACTCAATGCAATAACTGTCTCACGCCTCCAACGAATCCACCGAATCCAATTCAACATCAACTACAGAAACCCCGCCTCCAGTACCAACATTACCACCTCCCGAAATATAAGTGCCCCAAAGGAACGATTTAGGTGGCTACTGTCAACTGCTGTACTGTCCCTATGGAACTGTCATGTCTGGCGATCAATGTATTCAGGTTAAGTGTCCTGAGGGCTCAGTATGGACTGGCAACAAGTGTTCCCTGCCGGAACCCATTAGGCACACTATTAACATAAACAACACGATTACAACCAAATCTGACCACTCACAACCGAATATAAATCTCAGTCATGTCAACAACTTCAATATTAATGCTCCGGTGACAATCAATGAAACTATGTTAAGTGAGTCTGTGGATTACAGAGATGAGACAATTGCTGATACGACTACAACAGCGTCACCTCCACGCTGTTGCACTGTTGTGACTCCACGAACATGTGAACATCGCAATGACCGTTGGTACTGCTATCATACCGGTAAAAGCCAAAGATGTGGAGACTTTTGCACCGCGAGCATAATCTATTTGAAACCTCCCCGAGTGTATTCCAGACCGAATGTTGCAGTTATACCACCCCTACAACCGAGCTGCGGCAGTCCCCTTGGCCTATGTGGTCCCACAACAGGTTTGTCATATATTTAAATACCGAGCCTATACCAGTGTGTCTACGTGTGTATTTTGTTTTACGCAGGTGGATTCGATTGCTCACGGTGTGGACTTGGGATTGGACAAGGATGTTCCAGTTATTGTTACCGTTACAATTGCCCCACAATTGCCTGAAATGTATTGTAGTTGTCTGTAAATGCCTTGTTGACCACGAAGTCAGGCGCCAACGAAACGAACTTCTCATTGGGGTCGTATCGCTGGTAACGTAAGAACTTCGAATTGTCACAAGAGACATTTGGGTTTGAAAGGTTTTTTGTAAAGAAGCTATTAATAGCTTCTGGGAGAATATCCCAACAAAAAACTAAGGGAACTGATGAGGATCAGTGGCGAGATCCGAAACTATAGTCTTCCCTGCCTTACCCCTCGGCGGACAATGCCATACATTCCCCACTAATAAATAGTTGTTTTTATAAAAACAACAAACTGGGATTAAGCCTGACTATTTTGCAAAAACAAAATACAAATGGTATCCCAAATAACCCGCCAAACACTACTGAAGTAAATATTCGTACTTAAACGCTATAACAACCAAAATTAGTGTTAACTTTTTTTTTGTTACAACAATGATTTTACAAAGTAACTATGAATGTAGCACTATTTATACCAGGGTTGATCGCAATATTCACTTTACTTCAAATTAGGTCTTATATTTTGTTACCTTTTGCTGCTTTTGATTACACTTCAATTCTCTCACCAGGTCTCGTAACACTTCGCTGTCAGGCGGAAAACAGTATTTATAGGTTAGGTGAATGCCGACTCAACAGAAATATTAAGAGCCGAGCTATAAGCACTAATCATGTACGGGATGAAGGTTTCGGGCACAAATATCATTGATTTGTTTCTTTTCAATCGTTTTAATTTTGGACTTTTTCATGTACAATGATATTATTCTTAGCCTCGTGGCAGACCGGCACAAACTGATTTGATGCGAAGACAATGATTACAGCGGAGTTAAACGGCGATAATCTCCAAAAATTCTCTCTCCACCTCTTGCTAAATGCCCCTTGCTTATGCCCAAAAGCAACTAAGCGAAAAACCGATGTACAAATTTAAGTTTTTTATAAACGAAACTGCGAGATCACAAAATGAGATACAGTATTTTTCGGTTAATTTAGCCTATGGTTAATTGGTTTCCACGCTTAATTGAACCACGTGATGGGGTAAAAAATATTGCATAGGAAAATAAATGATTGTATTCGAAAATTGTTGAATATATTAATTTAGAACTTCTTGAGATCAGAAACCAAGAACGATTAAAATTTTGCTTTTAGACATTCCCGTAAAGTAATAAGGCGAGTACCCACTATCATTTATTACTGTTAGCTTTTTATCGATTACTGACTCTTCAATAACCAATAATTTGAGCCAAACTGTCATTCAAAAGTGATAGTGTGTAGACTAGGAGTTTATTGAAAAACTGTTATTCCCAACTTATAGTGTGTACTAAACTTCAAACTATCCAACAATAATCAGGAAGGTCCAAAAATCCATTATGTAATTGGTTTACTCGGGAATCTGAGTAATTTGGCATATATTTGGTGTATGTAATAATCACAGCAATATTCATCAAAATGTGATAATTTTGTACGATTTATTTGATTGGTAACAGTATGCGAGTAAGGTTAACAAATTACACCATGCGTTTCCCTCATAGCTACTCTGCAATACCTTCGTTTAAACTTCCTTTCGTTAAGTTGCTCTTATTGCCCATACCAGTAAGAATTAGTTCAAAAGCTGCCCACTCGTTTAGTTCTTTCGTCGTGTTCGTACAGTGAAGACGTCCGTTGTAGTGATCGGTTAATTTTTTTGCAAAAAAAAAAAAAAAAAAAAATCAGTAAATTGTGAAAATAATAATATTGTATTAGAAATAATTGAAAAATTTGGAAGACAATAACAAAATGTGTGTTTGAAATCAAAAGAAAAAGTTGAATATAAAACAAAAAAGTGTTTTAAAATTCGATCATATCGCACTGAAAATATTCTGCAATATTCCTTTGTCTGTCTTTTCCAAATATGTTTGTTTATTAGATTGTGTTAGTATGTGTGTAGGTATCTGCTATGCTTTGTTCTGTTCGATCGATGAAATTTGTGTGTGTGTGTTTGACTACAAAAAGCTTTTAATAAATAAATATGGCTCCTTTGCAAAGAAGTTTCTGTGCCTTTCGATTTGCCATCCGTTTGCCGGTTAATGAGTATTAGTTGTTTTTGCCTTTGTGTTTGTTTGTTCATATTCGGTTTACTACAAAAGCTTCTAAAGATACATCCGTGTTTCCTTCTTAAAAGTTTTCTTCAGTTAGTGTGGGTTTCAACCAGAAAAAGTGCTAAATAAAGCACACTTCATTAAATCAACAAATTGTATTTGAAGTGTCGTGTCTTAAATTGGTCTTTCAGATGGGAATGTTTAAAAATATATGTAAAAAAGTGTAAATATGAGATTAAAAACAACTTCGAATATGTAGCGGATATTACCAGATAATCATAGCAAAGGTAAGTGTTTCAAGTTATCCAACTACGTCTCTTTTACCGCCCTCTATCGCATGTCAGTACTATTCACAAATATTGGGTTGGTGGCTTAGCTGTATTGGTTGCTGCGGCGAACTGAGGTGAGTAAATGAACAGACCAAACAATAAACCGGAAATGACCGAAGAAACGGAATATTTTCTGTCTAAAAAGAGACATCAGTCTTTTTTATCTTAGTCCAAAATGCCTGGTATGTCTATGCACTACTACGCGTTTGCTTCATCTTACGGATTAGGGAAGCAATAGAGTTGACATTTCAAAATTTATAAAAAATAAGTGGCAAGTTAATGTGTTCAGTTTAGTGGCAGATTTTCTGCTGAATGCCTGAATAATATAAGTGTTCCCAAATGTTCCAAAGGTTTTTGCTCAACTCTCCTTATATTATATATTGTACAATAATGGCATATCAAGCATTTCTAGTGAAAATTGTTTACCATTTCTTATGTTAATTACGCGAATTTGAGAGAATCGAAAAAATAAAAACTTCACAAAACGTATAACAAAAAAAAAATCATAATTTAAAAACATTAAAATGGTTTATTTCTCCATACTGATTACAAATTTATATGGTTATATAAAATAGTATCTATATTTATATTTTATTTTACACTTATATCATCGGCCGCTTCTTCTTTTGTTAGTTTCAATGGTTCATTAATATTTTTGCTGGCACTCATCTTTTTATTCTGGCGAAATAATTCATATAATTCTTATTGGCTGATTACAAATTGTCTTGTTCTATCAAATCAAAATACATATCAATAAATTGAAAAGAAAATTATTTTATCGCGTTTGTTTGGAAGTAATAACTTGGTTACGGGTGAAACAAACATTTCATGGAATTCCACACAGGATTAATTATTCGCGTTATTAGTTAGTTATTACAAAACAAAATGCACGCATTTTTAATTTTTCAATTTTAAAAAATTGCGGATGCGTCTTTTTTGAACACATGTTTCTATATGAAGGAGTTGCCAGATCAAAACAAAATTTAACATGTGTTCATAACAGAGATGGAAGTTTCCAAAACACTTTTTTTTCTATTTATACCGCGCTTTTTTTGCTAGGCTAAGAACTTTACGAACTGCCCTCGTACGGTGCCATGGTAGTAACATGTCGGATTCTAGACAACGTCATTAAATTGTTTCTTTATTTTAAAATTATTTAAAATATATTTCTTTATTTCAAAATTTGTCTAATCAATGTGTGTTGTTTTATACTAATATTTGTTTTAAATATTCGGCTATGATTCAACGCATTACATTCACGGGTAACTTCCCTTTATTTTGTTCATAGATCAATACACTCCACCGACCCCTTGCAAATACCTTGCCTTGGTACGCATAGTTTTCGAATTCGTAAATAATCTATATTTTTGATAAAGTTGATTGTGTTATCGGAAAGCTTTCCAACAAAAAAATTAATTGTTTTATAAAATCCAGTTCTCCAGTTCCAGTTGCCTAGTAGAAAAACACCAGCTGAGCTATAGACATCAACAATTTTGCTTTCGATGGAGTTACAGGTATGTCACCTCTAGTGTTCTCTTTTGCGATGAGACTCACGAACTTATAGTGCGTTATTGCATTTAGGCATTTCTCCAACTGTTGGCGGTTGCATCTATTTTACATGCAACTGTCACTCCGACTGCAGCTGAAGACAAAAAACTGATTTTGGATGCAAATAACAACACCGTTGTACACAATATCCCCATCAATCCAATCGTCATCCAGACTCAACTAGAAAATTATGACCCACCCACCTTAAAGGAATACCAAGAGTGCCACGAAAATAGTGAAAAATGCAAACAGGTTTGTCAAGGTGTTGAAGATGTTGCTACGTGCCTGCAGAGATGTCCAATTTGTCCGGAATTGATAAAAGGGGAACAACTGGTGCAGGGTGTGAACGATACGCAATTGACACCGCCCAGACCAATTAATACCACGAACGTTATTCGGCTGACTAATCAAATACACAATATAATCGAGAATAAAGGTGGTAATATAACGTACAACAACGATAATGCTGTACATTTGAACCAGAGCGTGACGTTTTCGAGAGTGGGGGGACAATTCGGCTTGGGCTATAATAATACGGATCCGTGCTGCATAGTTTTGCGGCCGACAAGAAATTGCAATCTGAACAAGTTTTCGACTGCCTCCCGTTGTCATCGTAGGCGCCATCGAGTCTGCGGGAAGCAGTGTAAAAGTCGTGTAATGGAAGCCAAAAGGGTAAGAGTGTGCGATCCCAGTCCATATTATGAGGATTCACTTGATTATGACAACGCCGGAAGCTGTCACGAAACGGTTAAATATGTTCCATACCACCCCAAAAGATCATCCCGGCGACCTGACGCCGGCAGGTGCTCCTATATTCCTGTATGGCCGTTTGTGTCCTGTGCCCCTCAACAACACGGTCATCTTTTAAACTGCGACTACTGTCTCCGTCTACCGTATGCCTATATTTTGAAAAACGGTATTCCGTTGCAGTGCAGCTATTGCTTCAGCAATTATGGTGGATGGTCGAATGGAGCCGATTTGTCACAACAATTTTACAATTGGCAGCCGCCCATGTCATCTCCTACAGGTGGCAATCCCACGTTTGAACACAGCTTTGAATTTGATGTTTCCGACGGATGGAAGGAAGACATGACAAAATGTATATTATCGGATGGTACCATTGGTACCGGTAGTGATTGTTATAATGCCGATGACATTGGAGACGAACAGTCCAGCATTGATGGACCCGAAAACCTCGAAGATAATTATTCCGACTATGACTACTTGTCCGGTGGGCCAGTTGTTCGTAGGCGTCGACAAACGTTTTTACGTTCCAAATACAGCCGTAGATATCAAGACTGAAGACATAATAAACCTTCTAAAGGCACTGCCAGCATAGTAATGTAACTGCAGCATATCTGTCAACAATTAAATATTCTTATTATAAACGATGATTTGATTTCAATTTTTCAATGATATAAAAATAATTGAATGACGCACACAAACAAACGTGATCGCAGCACGCATTGAATTAGTGGAAAAATAATAAAGTAAATGAAAATAATTGTAATTGTGTCTTCCTATGTAACACGCAGAAGGAAACAAAGCATACGTCGAGTTCGCTTTAATGTAGATGATGTAGACATAGCTCCCATATTTATTGTAAATGTAGGATTTCATGTAAATGGTGCGCTAAAGATGCTGCGTCTCAGTGTAATGATCGCGAACAATAATTGTATGTTCTGGCAGCCCTTGCGAAACTTTCTCTAAATAAATGTTATCTAACCTCTTCAATGTCCCCAAATGCCGTTTGTAATAACGCAAACATTTAAAAACAAAAAATACAACTTGAAACATTTATTTAAAATCATTTATCTATTAATGTTTGAATGCTTTAAATTGGTTTTTTCTAATTAATCTTATCGTTTTGTGTTATTTTTTTTTCCTTGTATTTTCTAATAATGAATGTCGTAAGTGCGGTTGCTGATTAACAATTTTATTTTATCGGTTATTTGTTTGTATGTTCTGTTCGTTTCGGGTGCATCAGAATTGTTCGTTGAATGAGGTAAAAAGGTTCTTGCGTATGTAAATGAAGGTACTTTTAGTTATTGTCGTAAATCGTAAATCTTAAGAAGAAGAAGCAGAAGAATACAGTTTGTCTGCTGGTCATGGGTTTGCGTTTGTTGCTTGGGAAGCGGATCGGCTTGGGAAATGTGGCGGCCTACTTGATGCCCAATTCCTTAAGTTCAGTTTCTTCATCTACAGAATCCTCTTCGTCGGAGCCATGAACCGATGGGGCAGGCGTTGTGTGTCCTAAAAAAGTTGGTGATGTCAGAATTATTATATCGGTAGTGCATACACATAAATACTTACTTGACGATGAAGGGCTTGGCGGTTCACTGAAAGGCCTTGAGAAATTCAAATTGCTTCGGGAACTGTATAGCGAGCTTTCATCCACATAGTCAGGATACACGGCTTGCAAGGCTTTTACACGTGATTGCCTGTAATACTGCAGGAGAGTGATGAGCAGTCGGTGAGAAGAAACCACAAAATACATTTATACTTACAATGCCAAGAGTCCTCCAGTCAAGCAAATCACTCAAGCGCTCCGTGCGATTACGTTGTATAATTCTCTGCCTTCTATCAAGTCTGGAAAAGTCCATCTTCCATGAAGCATCCGAAACCGGAAAGATTTGTCGTAATGCTTGGTATGCCCATAACGGTACACTCAGCAGGAGTATAACCCCATGGTTCGTAGTATGATGGAAATACACCCAAATGACAGCCACGAACAAATTCTTCGTAATCGATTCGTAATCGATTCCAGTATTAAAATAGCCCCAAGCACAGGATCATTCCAATCGTCCACCTTAAAAGAAGTGAGACACCATAAGTGAGGAAGTGAATAGGCTAATGTGTAAGGGACTTACAATATTGTGAGTCGTAACGGGGGGCATAGTATCTCTCTGCAGGGCGTACATACACCTCTTAATTTTCACAAGGTCATCCTTTGTGAGCAACTCGTCTGGGCCAGGTATGTGTCCCTTGAGACACGAATCAAACAGTCGTTTGCCAATGCCTTGTTGCACTCCATTAATGGTGTCTCGCAACTGTTTGACAACTGCATGACCGCGTAGGGAATCAACGTTGAAATAATTTGTCTTGGTGGGGAAAATCAGGAACGCAACAACAGTTGTGTCGGGCTTCTCCTGCTTTAGCATTGCATTCAGACGAGCCAACGATTCGATGAATATATCAGCACCTTTATTTCCGAACTCGTAACGACCAGCAATAAAAAAGTACAAAGTTTTGTCCAAATCGAAATCCATGTGCCTAGAACAAACATAAAGGGGTAACATGACTTCCAAGGATATCCAATGCACACCTACCCATAAAAGTGACCTCGCACAAACTCGTTTATTTTTTCCTTAGCCATGGCATGCAAGTTTTGGAATTCACGAATAGCTGAGAATTTCTTGACATTTAAGCCGTTGGGCGTTATAATGTCGGGTTTACGTTTGAGTAAATGTTCCGCTTCGTATCCTGTGATCTCGGAAACGGTTGTGAAAACATGCGACAAATGGGTGACAGCGCGTTCCAAACAGTATCGGTGGTATATTTGTCGTTTGCCCGCCTCTTCGTCCACAGCAAATTTGTCTAAGTTATTATAAAAATCGGTGTTACCGGCACACAAATAACGTCCTAGCAAAGTGGCATGCGTAGTGAAGACTGTTGCAATCTCAACGTGCCGAGTTCTCAGGGCGATCAAACCAACACCAGCTTGCCATTCATGGAAATGAGCTACGATGCGGGGCACCTGCAAATCGTCTGCTTGAGAATACTCCGAAGCGCATCTTCGGAACTGGTAAAGTACAGAGAAACCAGAACATTAGGTATATGTTAACACAATGGAACGTATTATATCTACTCACCTCTTCCAAATACTCGGCTATCATGAAACCCAAAATGATGGCATCATTGCTTTCAACATCAAGGTGCGGTACTCCTGAAAAAACCATTTTCAGGAGTGTCGGGATAATTTATTTTTAAGAATATACGCTCCACTAAAATTGTGAGGATTAATAATACCTAATTGTGTTTGATACGTGAGTGTAGGGTTACCTCCAAGATCAACTAGTGTTTTTTGGTTTTTGTGTGGACAAAAATGAAAATGTCCGATTTGTCCTACTAAGAGAGCTCTTTTAGGCAGAAGAATTTAGAGTAAATTATTGGCCGGAATTGGCAAAAATCTAGTAAAAAAGGGTAATCTGAGCATTGACTCACAGATTAATTTGGCGGGTATTAATAGTCCCAAAGTTTAATGTTATGTTAGGTGAAGTGATGAAATGACTATGTCAATAAATTTTTATATGTTTTATATTTGATAATATGTGGTGTTAGATTCTGTTTGTGAGAGAGGAAATTAGGTGTATGTTATAATGAGGTAAGTGTGTGTGGCTTTAGGGGCCCTTTAAAAAAAAAATCATTTAAAATTTGGACAAAAGGGTCAAGGAAGGGCGGCCATAGTGGGGGAACGTTAATATCAAGTTCCTGTGTCATGGATGTATGGTGTTTATGTTTTTGTGTTGTTTGTTTGTGATATGATCCAGATTTCAATTTGTGCATTCCCTAGGGTTGATGGTTGCAAGGGTTGAGAATTCCCCCTGACAAACAAATGTTCCCAAACTGAGCTAGCATGGAACCCCACCATAGCGCCGCATTAGGCTTGAATGTAACAATATGGCGCCCAACCTTTAAAAATGACATCCCAAGCACCGTATAACAATATGGCGCCTAGGATGAAACGAAATATGTGCAATAATACCTACGCACTGTGCAATAGCCTATAGGGTACAATAGTTTAAGATGAAATGTCGCGTTTTCCAACGACTAACGGATATTGCATCCACTGTTTAGAATAATGAACTGTGTCAATTGTGCAGTATTTAGTTTAGTAAGTTAGAAAATTAGGATAATTCATCCCAAGATTTAGGGTCAAGTGCAATAGCTTTTTGTTCGTGAAGTGTAACAAAGAATGTATTGTTTTATATGTTTCCGTGTTTTTAATTTAACGTAAATGCAATATTAGGATAGTAGTGAAAATAAGTGCAATATCTGCTGTGGCGAAGGATCACAGACTGTATTGTCGTATTTTCTTTACATGAGATCTCTTTTCTTCTATGAGTTTAGAAAACTGCCATGATACTATCCGAAAACAAGAAAATCAATGTCAATGTTTGTAATATGTCCAATCCATTTCTAGTCAATACACCATGACAACCCAAATAAGGCCACTATTAAATTTAGAAGAAAGTTTTTGATAAATAAAAAAATATTATCCCACACATTTCATCTCGTTGATAACTGAAAATACTCCTAAGGAACTCTCATATGTGTTATTGTCTTTTGTCAAAAAAAATAAATATTTGTAGTTTTATGTTTTGCAACTCTGTTTTACGTTTTTATAATCTCAAAAAAATATTGTTTAACAAATAAATTTATATGTAGCATTTAATAATTGTTTAGTTTATGTGTTCTAGTTTTTAAGTTTTTATTATTTTTATAAACTGCTTAATAAATTTTGAATCTGAATATATCAATCCGATGAATGCGGCTACGGCAGGCAAAAAGCTGCGAAATTTTGTAAAAAAAAATTAAAATGTAGAATCGTTCGCCCTATCGGTAATAATATGTACGAACTCGAGACCCTTCAAGGAAAACCTCTTGGTAATTTTCATGTTTAAGATATAAAAGCATAAAATTAGTAAACAAATCTGTGATATAAATAATAAAGTGCAATATAGATTAATAAAATGTATGTCGTGCAGTCCATTTTTTTAATCAATATTGTATTTATTATAAATTATACCACCTGATTATTTTCTAAATTTATATTTTTTTATATCCAACCAAAAATATCCAAGACTTTTTTGAAGAGAATCGTGCAATACAAATATAACTACTTATAACTAAGTGCAATAAAAAACTGTGATACAAAAATTCTTGACATAATATAGATTATTTAAATTGCCACCATCTCAAGTATGCATGAAGTCAATAAATAATATTGGTTTAAATTGAAAAACGTCCATTTAAATTTAAAATAATCCCATAATAGAAAACGAAATATCCCAAATGTAACTTTGCAAACAATTCAAATGAACCATACAGGTACTAATGATGTCAGGAAAAATTATCCAAAAACACTTTTAAGCAATCACACTTCAATGTTGAATATGCATACATCAATTTTTAATATTTCCATATAATCGGTGAGACCACAGCAATATAATTATTTCATACCAAATTTATTAATTCCGCCAGAAATTATTTTCATTTAATAAACCAAAAAAAAAAAATCC